CAACATAACAACGGTTGACATAACGATAAATCACACCGTTCAACATTGGCCAAAGGCCTACCACACAACATGTCAACGAAATCAATAACTTTTCATGAAAACAACCTGTTCTTCATATATTCACTAGGATTCACACCATAAGGCTACCCACATAAATAATTCATAATCGCCTTATCAATATTGAATTCCACATATATTCAATGATATCTCGCAACATCAACACATTCATCAACCAACACAAAATAACACAACATTGATCATAAGGCCTATAATAACCATGTCCATAAACCGAACGAAACGACTTAACCTACTGTACCGACAATTCGATATAATCCACATAATTTAAACAAAAGGACACATCCACAATTACCTACCAATTAAACTTAGTTACCCGATCAAATTTCGTTAAATTCCAGACAAGTAATTATACCACCTAATTCGGCTACTGATTAATGGTTCTACATAAGAAATTAATGGTTACTTAATACTTTCTTCCTTAAACCAATTGATATTTTATTCTCTATCACCCTATTTTATGTACTGGCTTGCATAAGAATCAAACAGCACGAATCGGGTCCGAAAAATCGCATAAATCTAAGTTCAGAAATTTTTGCCACAACAGTTGACACGGGAGGAAGCGGCAGCTGACACGGCCGTGTCAGGAGAGGAAAGGGGAAAAACGTGAGGCACATTGGCTGACACGGCCGTGTCAGAAGGCCTGAAGCTAAAAACCAGTTTTGTCTCCTTTTTCACATATGCCTAGTTCTTGTTCATTCTTGTTTCAATTCACCCATTTATCCTAGTTTAGCATTAACCCAACACAGTTCAAATACAACAAACAACAACACAACTCAAATCAATTGTCAATTTTAATAGCAACACAAACAATCTTTTTGCACAACATAGTAGAGAAACTAATACTCTAAACCCCAAATAAAATTCATCATACTCCCATTTATTTAGTAAGAATCTCACCCTTACCTTGGATCGAGTGCAGCTCTAAGAAACAAATATGGAATTTCTGGGAATTGGCACTAGTGGCAACCTCCTCTTGTTCTATTTCTCCTTTCTAAAACCCTATTCTTCTTTCTCTTCTCTTTTTCCTTCTTTTTCTGATAACACTATCTCTCTTCTTCCCTAACTCTATTTCTATATAACATATTATTATATTACTTAATAAATCTAAATGGGCCTAAGTGACATACCCTCCCCCTATTACTTCACAACACCATAAATTAAGCCCAATCTCATATTTAGTTTAATAGTAAAATAATACTTCAACTTAATTCTACCTAATTAAATCCGATTATCTATCATGCCACCAAATAAAATAATTCCGACTTCGACGATAAAAAATTGAATTAATATAAAATATTCAAAAATATTTAATTAAATAAATAATTAAATATCGGGGCGTTACACACACAATTTCATATCGCAAACATAAACACAATATGATTCAATGCAATACTCATGCATGTGGTATAAATCAATGTTATTTTTATTCAGCTTTTTACTTTAAACCAGGTCCGTCCTCTAAACCAATAACACAAAAAAAACTCATCCTCTAAGCTTTCAAACCCCTCTCTAGGTTTGGGACAAGTCACTAGCTCCATCGAAACTAACAAGCATGTCTCTTGACAACAAATGATGTATATGCAATTATAACAACCATATGCAATTAAGATTATTCTCTAATCTTAACATCCATGCATATCTTCAATAATTCATCACAATTGAATTACCACACAATTACATATACATGCACATATTTATGAATCATCCACATACAATTCATATTCATTTACAACATGCTACTAAACAACATATTATGCATACCGCACAATACAACATCATGGTATCACCATTTACCAAACATGTTAGCAACTCATCATGTTACAATTAATAACAATAACACAACATCACCATATTACAATAACACAATACACAAATACATGCCATTTTGCATAAACACATAATAATTAAATCATCTGCCGCCAGTAAGATTATTTTTATTGAAAAGAATATCGCGCTAGCTTTCTAACGCTTCAAACAAGGACTCAAACAGATCTACGATTCAAAAGTTATAAGTTTTTGAAGTTTTACAAAAAATCATGCATTTTCCTGCAATTTATTTATGGGAATTTCACTCCAAAACTCATTTTAACATCCAAATTACTACGATTTAAGGCATTATAACCTATATATGAAATGTATTTTCAAATGGAAGTATCACAACACCATTACTCATCATATTCAAGGATTTCTCATAAGAATCTAACAATTTTAAAACCATGGTAATTTAGGAATTTCATCCTAACCATGAATTTACTCATCATACAATTTCCATAACAATGTAAAAATCCACCCTTACCTTAATTTCTTGATGAACTTTTGAATTTCTCCTTAGGTGTTCTTCTCCTCTTTCTCCTTTTTCCTCTGTGTCTACTTTTGTCTCTTTACTCTTTTCCCCTTTTCTAACCTATTTTTCTTTTCCTCTTATACTCTTAACAAAATAAGCATAACCCAACAACTACTAGGCTCAATTACTCTTCACATACTCACATATTAGACTCAATTACTTATTATTATATTATTTCTATATGATTCTCACTTAATAAAATAGTTCCATCATAAACCGATATTATTACTAATTATAATTCTACAGTTCAACATACTTAACCCGACTAACCCATCACATAGAACATGTATAAAATAATTCAAATAAAACCAACTACGCACAAAATCAAAAAATTAATTTTTATATATATATATATATATATATATATATATATATATATATATATATATATATATATATATATATATATATATATAATTACTAAAATTGGGGTGTTACAAAAGCCATTACTCAAACAACAACGAAAACAAGAAGAAACCTTTCCCGTTTGGGAAACCCAACCTCCCCGATAGACGAACCCATTAACCTCACGGTGAAAAAGCTCACCGGCATACAAACTACGAACTCCGATTGAAGTTCATCAGAAATTCATACAAATCACTAGAAAACAATTGAAACTCATCAGAAAACTCATGAGTCCCGCCAGTACCAGGCTTACTCGCCGTCGTAACAGCGACACTGGAGCTAACAAAAATAAGAAATTTTAACTCGCCTATACAAGACACTGACAGCCTCGTCGACGCCGATGTTTGAAAATTGGCCCAGCCACCATCAAACACCAACATCCACCGGAGCGACACTCACACTTAAAGCTTTTGCACTATCAACATTCATTCTAACAAGATTCAAACTAATCCTAACACAAAGCAAGAAGAAAACATAAGCTTACTTGTTTGACGAAGGTGATCCAAGAACGCTGGTCACGACTGGTTCTCACAAATCAGAAAGAGTATGAGAGTGAAGGTGTGCGAAAATTGAAAATGTTTTTTCGCTTCTCCTATTTATAAACCAGCTCCTGGTCACGTGCGCACGTGCAGAAGCCTAGAGGAACAAACAATCATCATTAACCCTAGCCCCTAGCCATCATTACATATTTAATGCCGCACGTGGCTCAAGAAACGCGTGACACATCACCCTTTTCAGATTCCATCAACCTTACATCTCCCCGGGCGTCAAGCGTAAAGGACAACCTTGGTCTCCCCTCACGAGTACAGCCTCAGAAAAGTCACAAAACACATCTACGAGCAGTTGGGAAAACCGCAAGCAAAACCAAACACAACTCACTAGCTCAAACCCACCAGGATCTTGGCACGAAGCTTTTCTGTTTTCAATCAACGAACATGAACATAACATTTTCATCTTCGACGCGCAGGCTGCCTCTAAGTCATTACTCCTATGCCCATAAGCAACCACTTGGGGGCTCCTATTCTGGACTGAGCCAATGGCTAAGCACGTCCCAATCCACTCCTGCGCCAAAGACGACCCAAAAGCATTGGTCCACTCAACTAGGGATAATAGAGGACATGTCTCCCTTCTGCCCAGCTGCTGGGGTTGCATGGTCGGTTGACCCAGGGTCGACGAGACCACAACTACCCTTGACCACGTCTCTGCCCATGACAACGACTAGTTTCAGGCATCTCTGTCCATGATAACTACTAATTCCAGGCATCTCTTCCTACTATAACGAGCACGAGCAGGTCGTCCCTGCTTTCACATAGAAATCCTGACCGTTACCTATTTTTGGGTCTGGATTCTGGATGCCTAGCCCATAATAGGAACTAATGGCCAAACGTCGGGGGCACTAAATATCCTCACACTTGTAAAGGTCATGTATTCAATATTCAATTCAAACCTTATTCCTAAATTCTCTCACGTATCTCTACACTCTTATTATTTCAGCATCGAAATGTCTTGCATGTACACCCCCTCCTCCGTGATTTCATCACTGCTGACGAAGTTTTGGCCCATTACAGATTCTGATCACCAGTAAAATCAGATACTGAGATACATCTCCAAGCAAATACAGCAATACTGAGATGACTCACTCAAAAAATATTAAATGTGTGTAATTTAGATGTATTTGAAAATACATCTTAAAAATTTAAAATTTTTATAATTTTTTAAGCACACCCCGAAAAACCACAAAGGTGGGTGAATAACGTAGTAACTCACTATTTTTTTTAATGTATCAACACTTTGTAAAATAATAGTTGTAAAAAACAAATCCTATATAGGTAGAAAAAAAACAGTTAAACGACGTCGTGAGTGTGTGGGAATCTACACTCTATCCTCTTCTTCATCCATGGTCTTCTCATCTTCATTCTCAGTTCAGTTGTGACTGTAAGTAAACCCACTTCTCTGTCTCTGTCTCTGTAGCACCCTCTGCTACCACGCAACAACACTTCTGGTAACATATCAATTTCCCCATTTCTCTTCTTCTTTTCCTTTTATTACATAATCAAATTTTATATGTGGAACCTGTAATAGAATTTATGAACCCTAAATTTCATTTGAATTCCTTGCATAATTTGTGCAAACTGAATGTATATATTTTTTAATGAACCTTTTGTAGAGTAAAATGGAAACCAGTAGCGGCAATAACAGCAGTAACATGATGTGGTTTTTCAAAGACAGAGGTTTTGATGATAACATCATACAAGGAATGTTAAAAAGATGCAAGCGCCTCGAGACGGTTCATCAAGAAAGAGCAAGTGAGAATTGGGAGTATTTGAAAACCATTGGAATTCAAGAAAGGAAACTCCCCTCCATTGTTTCAAAATGCCCGAAAATTCTCGTGCTTGGCCTCAATGAGAAGATTCTTCCCATGGTTGAATGTCTCAACACACTTGCAACAAAGCCTCATGAAGTTGCCTCTGCTATTGCCAAGTTCCCTCACATACTCTCGTATAGTGTGGAAGAGAAGCTTTGTCCCGTTTTGGCCTTTTTTCAAGCGTTAGGAGTCCCTGAAAAGCATATCGGGAAAATTCTACTGTTAAACCCGAGGCTTATTAGTTATAGTATTGAGACGAAGATGGGGGAGATTGTGAAGTTTCTTGCTAGTATTGGTCTTGATAAAGATGGGATGATTGGTAAGATTTTGGTTAAGGATCCGTATATTATGGGTTATAGTGTTGAGAAAAGGCTCCGTCCTACTTCAGAGTTTCTGAAGTCAATTGGTCTGACTGAGCAGGATCTTCAAGTGCTGGCGTTGAACTTCCCGTCGATTTTGAGTAGAGATGTGAACAAGGTTTTGGTACACAATTATGATTATTTAAAGAGTCGTGGATTTCAAGGGCGACAGGTCGTTGATTTGGTGGTTGGTTTTCCGCCTATCCTAATCAAGAGTGTTAGGAATTCTTTAGAACCGAGGATCAAGTTTTTAGTAGATGTAATGGGGAGACAAGTTGATGAAATCATTGATTATCCCTGCTTCTTTCGTCATGGACTGAAGAAAAAATTAGTGTTGCGGCACAAACTATTACAGCAGAGGAATTTAAATTGCAGCTTGAGTGAAATGCTGGACTGTAATGAGAAGAAGTTTCACTTGAAGTTTGGCTTGTGAGAAGGACATGCCTTGAGTATCTAGGTCTCATCCCTATTTTAGTCTGTTTATGATTTTCATAGTTAATTTATTAGTTGACTCATTTTTCGTTCCTCTGATGTGGAGTATCTTCTTAATTGATATTGTTGTGATTCTGTTTGTGTCTGATCTTTTGTTGAAATTCATGATCCTGTGATATGTTGTAACTAAGATGATAGGTTAATAGGTTATCTTTTGGATCTAGGATTGAGGTGTGTCTGCATGGCATGAATACCAAAGGGTTCCTCAGCCATCATACGGTTAATAAGGTCCTGTACCTCCTGTTGTCATACCTTCATTGTTTTACAGCCTTATTAGTTTCCTGAATGATCAAGAAAGATTTGGATAAAGTTCAATAATATCTGGTTGAGTAACATCAAATAAATCTCTTTCTAATCCTTCGTAATCTATGAAGCACTGACTTCAACACGAACACGTAACACAACCCTAACATTGTAAGAGAAAAATAAAACAATTGCCACTGTTCATCAAGGATAAACATATAGTTGTTTCTCTCTGCATGGTGTTGTTTAAAGCACAAATATATGACTTTGGAGATAAACTCATGAGAGTAGATAGATAAGTAGTCATGGTAGATTGTAGACACGCTTTTTGCTTTCAATAGTAAGTCATAAAGCATAACTGCTTTTTCTCATGATTGGAAATTGAAATTATAATGTTGTCTGCCAAGTAGGATCATGGAAGATTCAGCTAGAAGGATTTCACACCTAACCTAATCATATTGTGACATCTAATTTCATCCATTAACTTGTACTGTCTTTTCCCCCCAACATATAGGATGTTGTTAGTTACCTCAATCTCTGCGTTATTATCTTAAATAATTTTAGTTTAGTAAGATACCGCCATTGGCATTAAGGGTCGAAATTTTAATTGCTGTTGTGGAATAAACTGGTTGCTGCAATAATACAAATTGTTTTGAGAGTACAACAAACTTATGATCTATGTACTGAAGAGTGCATGTAATTCAACGAGTATGCTTGAATTGAAAACCATCAAGCTAATCCTGTGAGGCATATCTAATAAGGAGCACCACAGCAGCACAACTGTTGAAATTATATTTAACTTTAAACGTTTAAACTGTATAGTGTAGAATGTTACAATAACTGATTTGATACAAATTCTATGCGGTCTGTTTCTGTGGTGTCTACTTTTTTTTTATCTCGGCATATTTATCATGCAATCTTGATTAACTAATCAGTTACGTGGCACTGTTTTGTGTTTCTTCTGTCATGGTTGTTTGACTCTTCATTGTTGATGAAAGTGAAGCCACAGCCTCTCCAACTGTCAAGAAAAGGCTGTCTGCCCGAATGAAGTTATTAGCGTGGTCTGCTTTTTTCAACTTTTCTATGACCTCAGCCAGAGGATTCACCAACACAAGCTGTCACAAATGACATGATTTATTCAATATTTAGACTAAGGTATATGTTAACAAATAAAGAATGTTTCAGAGTTACATGTCCTTGCCTCAATGCCTTTCTTTTCCATTGTTGCCTTTAATTCCTTGAAAAGCGAGATTCCGCTTGTGTCAATGGCGCTCACAGCTAACAATTTCAAATAAATATGATTTAAGAAGGTATCTGTGATATGCTCAAACATAGACTGTAGAACATAGTGCATACAATAATCGAAAGCTCATATTACCTGACATATCTAGGATTAAAAATCGAAGGCTCGAGTGTTCCTTTTCGTTATCTTCCTCTTCCTCTTCAATCCATCGCATTGTCCTAATATGCCATGTCAATACTAAATAGTTGAGTAACCGAGGAAACAATAATATACAGAAATAAAACTAACATACAAAACTAACCTGTCATTGAGATATGTGATGTTTGCGAAATTGATGGGAGCCTCGATGCTTAAAATAAGAAAGCCTGGTATTCTTTTAGCTTCCATGTATTGGTGAAGATTTCTATATATGTCTGTCCCTGCTATATTCCCCATCATTACTGTTTTAGGCCTCGTAATTTGCAGGAGTAACCTAAACGTCGATAATCCAACCTGATCAATAGCATTTTCATCCATTGTCAAGGTGAAAATTAAGCAAATCGACAAAACATGTTGACAAGGCGAGAGCAAAAATGAACTTACTGCAACAGCAAGGCCTTCCTGGACTGAAATAAAAACGACACCCAAGAAAGCGGTTAACATCACAAGGAAGTCAAATTTGTCCATCTTCCAAATGTGACAAGCAGCAGGGATATCAACAAGGCCAATCACCGCAGTGACTATGATTGCACCCAATACAACATTAGGTGTGTACTGGAACAATGGCATAAGCAAAAGGAGTGTCACCATCACTGTCACAGACATTACTATGTTTGAAGCTGCTGTTTTTGCTCCAGCATTGTTATTAACAGCTGAGCGAGAGAAAGCACCTGTAATTCATAGTTTCAATGAGGTAAATTTGTGCTTCTAATACCAATTTGCTCGATGACTATAATGATAAAAGCGTTTTGTCCGTAGGTGATAAACAAGAACCTGTTGTGACATAGCAGGAAGTGAAAGAGCCAACCACATTCATAAACCCGATTGCCATCATTTCCTTATTTCCATCTACTTTGTAGTTTCCCAGAGCTGCAAATGTTCTTCCTACTGCAATACCTTCCTGCAATCATCCATTTTTTGCCAGTTATAAAATCAACTATGTACACATAATTATTGTGCCTATACTTCTTCTATATGTGTACTGTATATAATATACTTCCAAGTTTACTGCAGGATTAATAGAGAATATATAGTAAAGAAAGAGGGGAAATTAATATTTTAAACTTACAGTTAGTGACAAAATGCCAGTGATAAGGCCTGTTTTCATAACTAGACCAAGGTGGCTTCCATGAAATTTCAACATATTCCATGAAGAAGGATTTATTCCTGCTTGTAATTTTCCAATCTAGCAACCAAATCAGAAGACAGAGGTGATAATTAATGGCTGTCTTATGTACATAAAATCAAAATGACTAGACTTACGTGCTCGGTAGCACATCACCTCTGAAAAAAAGTGTATCTGTGTCCATGTTAGTGTCAAACAATGACACCTTGTGATTTTTTTCTTCAAAATTATTGATGGTGTTGACGTGTCATCTGTGTCCGTGCTTCATATGTTATGCGATAATGTGTGTTTGGGATGGGAGAGTAGTGGCTTACTACACTGATGCCATGATTTTGAGCCTTGATTGCAAAAGCCAGAAGAGTAGAGATGATGACACACATAAGAGGAGCCCCAGCAGAGACCCAGAATAGCTTTGGTTTCCTTATGCTCTGCATGCATTTATTTATTTGGATGAGCTATTCATTACATATGTAGCGTCCATTTCTATTGCTCTAAAATGTACAATTTTTCTTTTTTTTGTAGGAGCATCTAATACAGATTTGATTTAATGGAAGAAATTATTATTTTTAATAAACAACGTTTTTATTTTTATTTTTTATCATAAATTTATTTTTCACTTAAAAATAATAAAGATTTTATATTTATATTATTTTTTACAGATTTCATATTAGATTGATTTTGTCCGTCTCATAAAAGTCACATGCTCATCTAATGTGACACTTATTTCCATAATGTGATGATGTTATATTAGCATGTACTAACTACTTGAGATTTTACATCAACCAGTCTTGAAAATATAACTACTGAAAAAAATAATATTTAAGGAAAATGAAATAGTAACTAATCAAAGCCAAATGATATAGCAAAATCCATTTTGACAGAGCAACAAGAAGAAAAAAACAAATCAAGCCAATCTCATGTGACAAACATCATTGATGATTCATTTTTTTTAATCTTAAAAATTGTTCAAAAATGTCGTATTAAGTAAATTCATGTGCAGATGCAAACAAATTTTCATGAACAGAGATGAGATTATAGAATGAAAATTCTTGTAACACATAAAAGTTAAAAAGAAGAGAATAATAACTTACAACGTGTCTTGCTATGAGTAGTATCACCAAGAAGCAAATTCCCATCACTATTGTTTGCCATGACCACTGCACAAAAATACCATAAGAAGAATATAGAAAAAAAAAAGAAAAAAATGGACTAGTAATTAATTAAATAATGAATTAATTAACCTCATGTATATTTTGAAAAACAGAAGTCATAACAGGAACAAGACCCATCTCTTTAGTAAAGTGTGTGATTCCAAGTAAGCTCTTAAGTTGTTGCAAAGACACAATTATAGCAGCTCCAGCCATGAATCCAATTAGGATTGCTTTAGATAAAAAATCTATGATAAATCCTAACCTGTAATCATTCATTAATCACTAATGATTAATCATTAATCATTAACAAATAATAATACTAAAAGTTTATCTTTAGTACCTTAGAATTCCTAGTGAAGCTTGAAATAGACCAGCAAAAAAAGTTGAAGTAAGAGCAAGTTGAAGAAACAGAAGAGGTTCAGCAGAAGGTGACACTTCTTGTCTAAGCATAGATCCTAAAACAAGCGACGCAATTGAAACAGGTCCTACTGCTAGATCCCTTGAACTTCCAAGAACAGCATAAATAAGTGGAGGAACAAAACTAGAATCTGAAAAATTAATATAAAATTTATTATTTATCATTTATCATTTATCAAATTATCATCACACATGAATGGTTCCAGAACGGAACAATAACAATAGACTCACATAGTCCTACAATTGGAGGAAGATTGGCAAGCTTAGCATAACTAATTCCCTGAGGTATGGCCAAACTAGCAATAGTGAGGCCGGAAACAAGATCGGATTTGAAGAGTTTCACGTTATAATTCGAACCCCATTGAAGAATAGGGAACATGTATTTCGCTCCTAAGATAAGTTTTATCTTAGGAGATTTTCCTTTGAATTGGCGCATAGGATCATCAGGGAAAAAAGTTTCTTTGAGTCTAAGTTTGAGTTTGTGTAAAGTTGTTTTGTGAGGTGGTGGAACAACTTGGTGAATTTCCAATTGTACACAATGTGATTGTGAAGAATGTAAGGTATTAGAATCCATTGAAGAGAAGAAGAGAGTGTATAGAAGTAGTGGAATGTGTTTGGTGTTATATAGTAGAAGCTAAGGTTGTTTGATGCAAATGGTTATGTTATGGTGGTGAATGCTTTTTAGGTTAGTCTTGATATTCAACATATCTATAAAACCGCTATAAAACAAGACCATACCTATGTAACTAAAGGACAAAAGCATCACAACAATAAATTGTGTGATTTCATAATTCAGAATTCACAAACTATACGGCCATGTTAATTTTCTCTACATAATAATATGAGTATGTAGTACAAATTTTTAGAAATGTTTTTACAAGTAGGTTGCTTGTTCTTATCAGTTTAATATCTGATATATGAATCAATGATCTACATGATACTAAATTTTCTAATTTTTTTTTGAAGAGAAGAATTCACTACAGTAATTTACTATTGGGTCTGTTGCGTGTCGCTTTTGCATTGCATTATAACAATTGTTGGCGCACCCCATTATAAAAAATAGAGGTGTTTGAGATAATAATTCATTTGATTTAAAAATAAATATAAAAAAAAAACTGACCTGGCCCGACTCAATTTCATGCTGTTTAATTTGTATCGATTTTTTTATATCCAAATTACAAATTATATTTTCTATTAAGCTTATAAAAATATTAATAATTAATAGATTTGATATAATATATAACATATATTTATTAAAAATTAATATTATAAAATGAAAATGATAAAACAAATAAAATAATAAAAGTAAATAAATTAAACTAAATTAATAAATAGTATTAAAAAATAAATATTATTATATAATAAATTAATATAATATATTATATATAAATAAAAAATAAATAAATATAAAAATATATCCACGTAATTTGGTTTGTTTTGGATAGATTTTAAAAAATTAATCTGAATTCTAATTCTAACTTAGCGTTTTTACAAAATGACATCGCATCGTAGATGCATGTGTATTAAACTGATGTATAACCATACACAAGTGCATGAGTACCATAGGAGAGAGGTAGCATGGAGCTATATAAATACAAGAGACATCACATTTTAACAACTTCACTCTCATTAGTGCAACAGGGCAATGAAGTTCAATGTTTAGGAGTCATGTTTGTCTATAAATATTATACTTATAAATTATTTCAAAACACACTATCAAACAAATTTTTTAATAAATTTTTTATATGACAGTCATTTTACTTACTTTATTTTATGCATTTTTTTAACTTAGTTGCTTAAAACACCAAAAAAAGATTATTTAACACTTTTTTGGAGGATTTAGAGAATTTATAATTGAAGGAAAAGGTTTATATTAGACCATGAAAAAATTTTTGAGGTATCATTTATATTGTTCTAAGAGCAATCATACAAGTGCGAAAAACATCAATCTTCATACAAAAAATTTACAACATTATATTTATATACAGATCTCCTCACTTATATACTATTCAACTTTAACGTTTTCGAGCAATGAGTTTATCCACATGTATCTCTCTACAAGGAATAAGTTTTCATACATACACTCGCATCTTCTTTAACACCTACCACATCAAAGGACACGTTAACGAGACACACTCGATTGACCTCTATTGTCATAAAGACTTTATACAAAATAAATTGACCCATTTAGTTAAATCATCAATTGTTATACTACTATTGAGTTATATGAGGGGAATTTTGGGATCACTCACATTAGGTTACGAACAACCACACAAAAGAGAGACAATATATCTTCACTCACTTTTCATTTTCTCAAACAATGTGAAAGACTTCTAATTCACTTGTATCACAATAATCTCTTCCTTTGCGCATGAGGTGGATTTTGATCGGCGAACAACTCAATTTATCAGCTGTGATGAGGTTAAGGCTAGACGTCAAAAAATGTTTCGATCCAAATCTCAAGGATATGACAATTTTACAGTTTTTGTACGACAGGGATGGAGTAGGAGCGAAAGTTTCACAAGAAATGGAAAGAATCATAGGAACATCAAGTATGTAGCAAATTTTTGTGGAGCTATAGGTAGAGAGGATGGCTTCCGTGATGGGGCAATTCAAAATCAGTTCCAGTTTGATCATTTTAAGAATGATTCTAGTAGAGCAATATCACACACGCGTAGGGCTTTGAGTCATGCAGAATGTGTTACTCGGGAAACAATGACTTCTTTATATTTGTCAAAATTTCCTAATATTCTTCAGAATATGAAATTACGAAAGGAATTAGAGGCACGTGGAATTTTATCTGATGTTTTTATCTCTCAAAATAGAAATGCAAGGGGTTAATTGTTTGGTTTTGCTCACTTTTCTAAGGAGATGGATGTGGAAAAATTGAGCAAAGATTTAAATAACGTTTATTTTGGAGATTATGGATTATTTGCGAATGTGGCTCATTATGATAGGTTTGAGAATTTTGATAGTAGAAACTTGGGGGAGGGGGATGGAGAAAAAATATTGATACATGAGATAAGAAAATATTCGAGGGAGAATGGGAGAAGGGAGGCCGAGTTTGGGTTTAGTAGGAAGAAGAAGTTGGAGAGGGTGAAAGAGGACGAAATTATGAGCGAAAAGGAAAATTTTAGAGTGGTGACTGATGAGGGTGTGGTAAGTAAGATGATTAAGGAGAGGGAGGAGGACCCAATTCTTAGTATAAAGGGGAAGAGCAAGAAGGTATAAGGGGCGGAAGATGGGAAGGGAAAGGTGGTTATGATTGATAGAAGTTATGAGGATGTTCCTGAAGACATTTAATGTGCATGTAATGGTATGATGGTTAAGATTTAAATGGAGTCAGTGTTCCAGTTATTCAACAATTTATCTCAGATGTTGGGTTTCATGATTTTATGGTGGCACTGTTGGGAGGAGACAAAATATTTATGTATTTTACAGGCAAGTCAGAGGTGATGTCTGTTTTTAATAAACTAGCTGATTTTTTCAGATCTTTTGTGTGTGATTGTCGTGCTTGGTCGAAGGATAATGACTTGGTTTATGAGAGAGGGGTGTGGGCTCGTTGTTATGGTATATCGTTACATGCAGGAAATGTGAGGTTTTTTTGGTGAACTTACTTCAGTTAAAGGAAGATTGTTGAAAATTGATGAATGAATTATTAATAAATTAAGGTTGGATTATGGTCATATTTTGACCACTACAAAATTATTGAGGGAAATAAATGAGGTAGAGGATTTTTGGGCCGACGGGATGAAATATCCTATTAAGTTTGTGGAGGATATAAAGTTTGGCTTAGCAGATGACACATGTTTAGTTGAGTATGAGGAGGAAAATGAGTCTCAGGGTACTGAACTGGGCTGCGAGTTTGAAGATGCGTTGTGATACGGTGGCAGAACCGACTGTTTAATACTGATTTGCATTTTTTGTTCGCAAATGTCGCGGTAAACAAGAGTCGCCACCGACTTTTCTTTTATCCAACAAAGGAAAAGGGTGAAAAGAACAGAAAAAAAAAACCGTTTTTTGAGATTTTCTGAGTAAGGGGGGTAGATTATGGAAAGGGAAGGTATTAGCATCCTTTCCATTCGTGGTTTTCCATGGGCTCTTAGGTACTTGCTCATTTTTAAAAATTGTTTGTGTGTTTGTGGTTATGAAAGTTTTTGTTTGCTTTATGGTAACTCTTGTATCAGTCCTCAAGAGTGTAATAAAGCATTTTCGGAAAGATTTTTTTGAAAGTGTGTAAGTGTGAAAATTTCAGGTTTGAGCAAGTACTTAAGAACAGTCTACCTATTCAAAAAAGGATGTTCTTTTCCTCCTTTCCTTTAGATAGTGCTATCCTACTATTAGTGAGTAGGTAGCCCTATCATCGGATGTTGAGGGATAATCAAAGGGACGTTTTACAATTATGAAGGCAACTTGTGGAGACGCTTTAGCAATTTTCTTTTAGGGACTAGATCATTTACTGAAAGACAACTGTAGGGTCATCAAAGGACTATGATCTTTTTCGATTTATGGGTCTTTACTAAAGCGTTCCTGCCTCATGAATGTTTTATTTAAAGGCAACCAAAGTGGGAGATACCTTAGAGGTGCGCATGTGCAAATGTGTTGAAATTCAGTTATTTATCTTGCATTATTAAGTTTGCTAACGTTTTAATTTTCAGTCTTATCATGCACGCCTAGTTACTAACAGTTAATATTTATAGAAATTTAAAGTGCGAAAATTTAAATCCTAGGCTATTACAACGCTTTGGGACAATTACATAAAAAAGTGCAAGAAAATAAAATGCAAAATTTTAAATCTAGACTATTACATCCCATAATCAGTTAAATTATTTATATAAAATGCGAGAATAAAAATAACGCACGCGAAATAAAAATCACGTCTAAAAATCCTAAGAAAAATTCTAAGTAAACAAGAAAAATCATTTTGGTTTTATTTTTATTTATTTCAAGAAAAATAATTAAACTAAATCTAAATTTAATTTAAGAAAATAAATATTGAATGAAATTAATCCAATTCTAATATTTTTGCATTTTTTATTAAGAAAACATTTGAAACATAAATTAAATCCTAAATTCTAGTTCATTTTAAAATAAGAAAGTAGTTAAAATTTAATTAATTAATTAATTAAAGCATTTCATTATTTTAATTAAAAAAAAGTCTAAGCCTAATTTTTTTGTGAGTTTTTATTATTATTTGCTTAATTAAGTAAAGAAGATAAAAGAAATTAAAACATTACAAAAAAAAGCTAGATGAGTCTGAGATAGTAAAACAAAAGTGGGGGTGTGGTTGTTAAATTAGCTGTCCCATGAAGGAAGAGGCCTAGATTTGCTTCTGGATCCAATGTGGATTAGTTCTGATGGTACATGGTGAGCCCACAGATGGAGTGCGCTAGATCTGATCAGATAGACATCTGATGGCACTTGTCTGATGGTGTATAATGCACATCTAGATATGAGGAGCACTAGATCTGTATGAAACAAGTTAGAAAATATAAAAATGGAGCTTACTGAGGCATTTTGTGATGTTTCAGGGCTTGGTAATGATTGCAAAAGCTTCAGCGAGCCTCAAAGAATGTATTTGGATCTTTTGTTTGGACTGAGAAAGGCTGGAACCTAAAATGCGAATTTTTACAACTTTGATAATTTTTGCAAAATTTGTAGAGGTTTTCCAGGATGTATCTCATGTGTTGAAGCTTGCGAATGTGTCCTTTATATAGAGAGGATGGAGGAGACAAGAGAACAAAGGTAATAACAACCATAAACATGTGTTTTTAAAGCCATGAATGATGTTTTGTAACTTTGCCAAAGACATGGAATCTTGTCCTTTTTGAATTTGAATGAATGTGGACACCTTTGCACGAAATTTTATGGGCCTAGGCTGTCTAAAACATCAACCCAAAGCTCAAAGCCCATTTCCAATTATTTTATACATTTTATTTTATATTTATTTGAAATAAATTAAAATAAATATGAATAAAATAGTTACTAAATGAAAGGCATGGCAAGAATAATTTTAGAGGTCCTCTATAAACTTAGGAAGATGCTTGAGATCCAAGAAATTGAGCCCTTGCCTTAAAACTTCAAATTTGCTCAATGCACAATTCTTGAAAATTCCCAAATTTTCTCAATTTGGGAAAACCATAACTTGCTCAATATTTATCTCATGATGATGATCTTGGACTTTTTGGAAAGTCCAAGATGTCTACTTCAATCCCTCTTTTGATCAATTTTGCATTTGAAGATTTTATCTTGATGTAAAAGGTCTTGTAAAAAAGTGGATTTTGTTGACTTTATGAAAATGACCTGTAATGTATGAGCTTGTACCTTTCAAATGGTGCATTTATTGGACTTGAGGGATGAAGAGAAGTTATAGATAATGAGATTATCTTCAATATGAGCTCTGGTTGGGGAAAAATGGAAGAAGTATGTGAAAGATATGTCTGGTCAAAGTTCAGTTGACTTTTTCTATAGAAACCCTACTTTGCCATTTTTGACTTCTGATGGGTTAGGAGCATTTCTTGAGGAATCATGATCAACCCTTGATCAAATTATGGATATCACTTCAAAATATTGATGTTGACCAAAAATATTGAAGTTTGACTGTACATAGGCCACATTTGACTTTTGACCTAACAAAGTTGATTTTCCAATACTTGAGAAATTGACTGAGCAAACTTGTTGAGCAAGGCATGAAACTTGGAATGGATGATATTTAGGACATATTTGGACAATGGAGAACATTTGGGATCCTTGAAGCTCAACCATCTTGATGAAAATTGAAACCCTAGTTGGGGGCTCATTGCCTTAGGAGGAAAATTGTCTGGTCAAATCTTGGTCAACCTAGGGAAATTGAGAACCTCTAGGAGTATGTATTGTGTGAAAATGGGAGGGAAAATTTTGGGGTACAACAGCTTCCCCTGTTCAATCTTCTTAAACCTGAAGATGTAGATTGGTTGGTCTGCCTTTCGTGATTTGAAGGTGGAAGATGATTGAACACTAGAGTGCCCAGAAATTTGCACTCGTCTGAAATGATACTTGACTGTGTAGGTAATACCAGGAATGGGCTTATAGATGCCATTTGGAAAAGATGACAGGAGACTGTCGGAGATGGGCTTAAAGATTCCATCCAAGGAGTATGGCAGAGAGTCGTCGGAGATGGGCTTAAAGATGCCATCCAAAATAGATGTTGACTTCATAAGAATTCTCTTTGTGGGGATTCCTGTTCCTACTGTCCGAGGAGGAGTCTGCTGGGGAATGTCTTTCAGGGGAATAGAGTCTAGGAGCTTCAATTGTCCATTACTCTACTGGGGAGTCATCTCTTGACTGAAGATACGGAAGTGAACTGCTATCTGGTCAGGATCCAGGCTTCGTAGTGACTTGCTGAGGATGATAAGGCTAACTGCTATCTGGTCGTATTCCAGGATTCACAATGACTTACTGGGAAAATGAGATTAAACTGTTGTCTGGTCATACTCTAGGCTTTGCGGTTTCTCAAACTGGAATAGAAATCAGAAAAAATTTAGTGTCGATTTAACTGAAACAGAGAAAGGATCTATCGAAAGAGAATCAGTAACAAATCAATGGTCGATTCGAACTGAACCAACAAAGGTCTTGATTTATCTTTGACTGGATAAGAATCAGAAAAATATTAGTGTCATTTTAACTGAACCAGTAAAGGATCTACCAGAAAAAAATTAGTAACAAATCAATGGTCGATTCGTACTGAACAAGCAGAGGTCTTGATTTATCTTTGACTGGATAAGAATCATAAAAATCTTAGTGTCGATTTAAACTGAACTAGTAAAGGTCTTGAATTATCTTCAACTAGTATAGAAATCAAAAAGATCTTAGTGTCAATCTGACTGAACTAGAGGAAAATTTTGAATTAACTTTGACTGGATAAGAATCAGAAAAATCTTAGTGTCGATTTAACTGAACCAGAAAAAAGTCTTGGATCATATTCAAATGGAATAGAAATCAGAGAGACCTTAGTGTCGATCTGACTGAACCAGAGAAGGTCTTGGATTAACTTTGACTGGAATGGAAATCAGAAGAATCTTAGGGTCGATTCGACTGAACCATACAAAAGTCTTGAAATATCTTCAACTGGAATAGGAATCAGAGGGATCTTAGTGTCGATCTGACTGAACCAGAGAAGGTCTTGAATTAACTTTGACTGGAATGGAAATTAAAAGAATCTTAGGATTGATTCAACTGACCCAGACAAAAGTCTTAGAATATCTTCAACTGGAATAAGAATCAGAGAGATCTTAGTGTCGATCTGACTAAACCAGAGAAGGTCTTTAATTAACTTTGACTGGAATGGAAATCAGAAGAATCTTAGGATCGATTCAACTGAACCAGACAAAATTCTTGGAATATCTTCAACTGGAATAGGAATCAGAGAGATTCTAGTGTCGATCTGACTGAACCAGAGAAGGTCTTGAATTAACTTTGACTAGAATGGAAATCATAAGAATCTTAGGATCGATTCAACTGAACCAGACAAAAGTCTTGGAATATCTTCAACTGGAATAGGAATCAGAGAGATCTTAGTGTCGAACTGGCTGAACCAAAGAAGGTCTTTAATTAACTTTGACTGGAATGGAAATCAAAAGAATCTTAGGATCGATCCAACTGAACCATACAAAAGTCTTGGAATATCTTCAACTGGAATATGAATCAGAAAGATCTTAGTTTCGATCTGACTGAACCAGATAAGGTCTTTAATTAACTTTGACTGGAATGGAAATCAGAAGAATCTTAGGATCGATTCAACTAAACCAGACAAAAGTCTTGGAATATCTTCAACTGGAATAGGAATCAGAGAGATCTTAGTGTCGATCTGACTGACCCAGAGAAGGTCTTTAATTAACTTTGAC